ATCACTTAGAGACGAGGGGTTTACAGCAAGACTGGATTCAAGTCAGATGGATCACCTGGTCGTCTCCTGCAACCTCGGCGGCGAGTCCTTGCTCGCCTCCTGCTACGCGCGGGAAATGTGCGCCAGGTTCCCTGAGGTAGGAAAGGGCTGGATCCGACTCGGAGACTGTGCTCGGCAGGAAGGAGCTAGCAAGCTTGCGATGCTAGCGTATGCTCGGAGCCTGCTGTGTCCCCAGGAGAGCGCGAGGCTCGGGGACTACTGCGCCAAGAAGCTCTTGCAGTGCTCTCTTGAGACGGGTTGGGGATGCTTGTTCGGAGACAACGAGTATGAGCAGATCCCCGACGAGCTGAGAAGCCACCTCCTCTCTCCGTGGCCACGGTCGCTGCGGGAGAAGGCCATGCGCATCTACGAGAGCAACGCTCCTCTCCTTGTCAGCACTCCTCGCATACACCTGCAGGTCCCGCTGGTCAACGTAGGGAGGGCCAAGGCCGAGGCAGGTACAGGAAGCTTGCTCTTGCTCGTGACTCCATTGACGGCCTGGCAGAGCTCTTCTCTCTCCCCCGCTTCTTCAGCTGGGTCGTCCCTTACTTCCTAGCTGGCATGTCCACACCGCGGTGCGAGGCTGACGTCGTTGCCTTGAGCTCCCCGCACGTCGGCGTGCGCCATGTGGTGACGCTGACCGAAGAGGAGCCGCTTCCGGAGGAGTGGTTCCAGGGCAAGACCGTCTCGCATACTCACCTGCCGATCAGCAACTACCGAGCTCCTTCCATCGAGCAAGTCGACTTCTTCCTCAGGCTCCTCAACGACCCGACCAAGACGCCGCTGCTCGTGCACTGCGGGGGTGGCAAGGGTCGAGCTGGGACGATGCTTGCATGTTACCTTGCAGTCTACGGATGCCAGCCCCCTGCGACTCAAGATTGGTCTCAACCCGCCATGTCAGCCGGGGAGGCCGTCGCTATGATCAGGCAGCTTCGGCCAGGAAGCATCGAGACGGAGGAGCAGGAGAAGTTCGTCCACACCTTTGTGAGCGCAGTGTGGAGGAGGCAGTCGGCGCTGGCCGAGCTGCCAGAGGAGCCCCAGGGATCTCGCTGGAGGGGAGGGGCATGACGTTATAGCCTACC